TTATATATTTTATTAATTAAATGTGCAATTTATAATCTTTGAATGAAAATGTTGACAATGTTATATAAGGACAAAATGATAAATTGAACGTTTCTCATCTATCTCCATATATTATTTTTATATATATTATAAATATATAAGTAGATGAACGTTGATTTAAAGTGAAACATACATTTATAAATAATAAATACTATAATATATGTACATGTACTTATGAGATAATATTATAATATATTAAAGGTGACATTAATGATAGATTAGTTACAATTTAACTTCATGTAGTTTCCTTTTAAGTATAGAGTTTATTTTTCATGTTGGAGTACTCATAATTTTATATTAATTAAATCAATTTTAATAACTTAAAATCAAAGCTCGTCTACATAAATAATTATATTAAAACTATAATAAATATTATTTTATATTGTAATTAATATACCATTATAATAATACAATTTTAATATATTATATTATACAATTATAATAAAATTACAACTATATGTGTGAGCTTCGATTTTAAGTAGTAAATTAATTAAATAAATAATACAATTGAAGTAATTAAACTTAATTTGATTAACGTAAAATTTTAAGAACTTCACTATAAAATAATGAGTATTACATAAATATAAATGGATATTAAATGAAGTTAAATTATATTATATGGTACTATATTAAATATATAAAGGTAAAATTGACATATAGCTAAATATATAAGGGTAAAATTGGTATTCAAAAGTTTATCCTTAGTCCACACTTTTAATAGATTGTAAATTAATTCTAAACCAGATGATAAATACTAATTAAATTGGTATTCCAATTATGAGGATATAGTGAGCATATATATAGTTAAATATTTAGGGTTAAATTTGAGGGTAATTGGCAGAAAACGTTCTTACATTTCGAGAATATTGTGGAAAATGTCCATATCTTTCATTTTTTGGCATTTTTGCCTCTATTTCCATATTTATTTGCGCTGGACGTCCTTTTTACCAATTTTTGTCATAAAATGACCAAAATACCCTTCTATTTAAACAAAAGGAAAAAATTGCAACTATAGACCCAAACTTTCCTTATGTACAAATGAGCCCAAAATTGAAAAAACCCGTCACCTCCTTTCCTAACATTCTTTTTAAAAGTTTTGACCTATAACACCGGAGCCGGCCTCTCCACCATAATCTGGTTGCTGGAATTTGATGCTTTCTTCTCTTTGTCCATTTACCTAAAATTCAACAGCGAAATTTCAAAAAACCCAAAGTTGAAACTCAGAGTCGGAGATCCAAGCCGCACAAGAAATTGTAGAGAAACAAGGGGTTCCAAGACCGTGAAAAACCCAAAAGTAATCAACCTAGAAGCAGACCAATTTTAGCTTCAAATCGATTTTCTGAGACCAAGAATTTTGATTTTTCCACATGGGTTTCGGAAAATCTGTACAAAATACTAACAATCATTCTACTTATCACCACTATGGCGGCCCTTTTCTTCCTCCGCAAATATGGGGTTGCCGACGGTGATACGGACACTCTTCTCTGCCTCTAGTCTACTCAGTCTCATTCAATTCACCCTAAGTTCTCAGTTATCAATTGGAATTCTCCCCTTTTCTGTTTCTTTTAGTGCTTATTATTTGATGTGTGAAGACTTGATCAATGGGGTTTCTTGCTATTGATTTAGGTAAGAAGGGCAGATTTTCTTTGAATTTGATGAATTCCAGATGCAATCCCCCCTCCCCTCTCCCTATCTCCCTCGCTCGATACACAATAAACATACACCTAATCTTTTCCTCGAATTTTGTATCCACATATTAGTTTAAGTTCTATAAATTTTCAATTTAAGAGTTCTGGGATTTGGGATCTTTGAAACCAGAAACATTTTATCCATTTTATAACTAGAATGAACCAGAAGCATTTTATCTTAATTGGGTGTCAAGCAAGTCGCTGGCAATAATATTTTTAGAATGGATGACACTGGATTCTGTGAAACTTCATGTTCAGCTAAGTGATTATAAAATGTAACTATTGAGCACAAATTTTACAATAATATTCCACATTTTATGAACTACACACTTCACTCTGCTACATAGAGTGCCAACGCCGGAGCTCTGGTGTTTTAGGCGGTGGTTGGGTGCTGGTGGTTGAGGTTGAGGTGGAGACCGGCGGTGGATAGGGGGAAGTGTGGAAAGCAGGTGACGATTTTTTTCAATTTTTGGCTCATTTGCACATATGGAAAGTTTGGGCACATAGTTGCAACTTTTTCTTTTTTGTTTGTTTTGTTTAAACAAAAGGGTATTTTGGTCATTTTACGACAAAAATTGGTAAAAAGGACGTCCAACGCAAAGAAATATGAAAATAAGGGTAAAAATATCAAAAAAATGAAAGGTATGGACGTTTTTCACAATAAACTCGAAAAATATGGACGTTTACTGTTAATTACCCTTAAATTTGATATTCGAAAGTTTTTCCATTGCCCCCACTTTTAATAACACTGCAGACGAGTTGAAGATTTGCACACTCAAGGGACAAGTACCACAAAATGGTCTATATTAGGGCCCCCACCCCTACCTACTCTACCCTACTCACTCCATGTGCAATATGACCTTAGTTATTGTCATCTATGTTTAATTATTGGGAAAATGAGGGACTAGACTCTACTAAGCTCCTATTTGACAATTATTATCATGAGAATTTTAGGTAAAATATATTTTAAAATGATAGTTTTTGGAAAATTGTGTGATTAAAAAAAGATTAATTTATCAAAAAATATGTGATTAAAAAGAAAATAAAGAAAAATATATTAAAATTTTAAAAGAAGTCAAACAAGGACTAATACTTTACCAAGGCGAGTTACGAGTATTCAATCATTAAAAGTAAAAGCTCTATATTCGACATATAGATATACTTATGAATTTAGATGTCACTTGATCAAAATCGTCAATGTAAATATTAAAATCACTTGTGAGTTTCACATGGATTGTGTTACAGAGAAAACACATTAGACCGCTTAAGATTTTAGTTCAAATTCAATTGAAAATCACGAGTAATCTTAATGTTTACGTTGACAAATTCTTTCATGTAGGGAAGCCAATTCATAAATTAGGGTCCCAAAACTTCGCTTTCACTCTTCAATTTTGAGAAGCCCATAATTGTAGCCCCGTTTTAGCCACATTATTGTAAAAATAAGAATGAAAAATATAGTCGTTATGGACCCAATATAAGAGATAAAAAATCAAATATGGTAACTTGATGTAATAAATAACGATCATATTTTTCATTTTAATGAGGAAATAATGGAGCACATGTTGGAAGAATTTTGTGAATAGAGACGCCAAAAATAAGTATAAAGATAGGGACAAAGTCGAGGCAAGAGTTGGACTCTTTGTCCTTAAGTCGAATTTGCCCCGCTACGGTGCCTACGGATTTCGGCAATCGACTCCCAAGATACAACGGCTACACTTGTGTTTGTAGCACTCCAAAACACAAGTACAACGAACCAAATTTAGGCTTATGTACTCCAAGGATGAAATGAAAGAAAATCAAAATAAATGAATGATTTTGATTTTGGATAGAAGAGAGGATGAGAGACGTTTTGCATATCAAACTGTGAGGAATAGGACACCCAAAGGGTCCTATTTATAGACCATGAAAGGGTGTGGACGAAATGGTTGGGGCCAAACCATGCACCCTTTCCAAACAATGCACCACCTTTATGAAAAGGTGTCTATTCACTGATTTTCGTCCTTTTTTGTAATTTCTCATTCATCCGATATTGGTTTTCGAAATGCCAAATATACCCTTCAATACATGCAGAGAAATCAAAATTCTCTTTCGGGGGCGTTGCCCCCGACCCCCCACGAGGGGCGCTGCCGAAGCGGCGAAGTGGCAAACAATTTTGCTTAAACGGATTGAGTCGAGCTTTTGAGTATTTGGTCGAAGTCGATACGAAGTCACTTTAATCGATTTTCAATTCTCGATTTATTTAACCAATATCCAACAATCCCCCACAAACAACAGATAATGTATATTTTGCAAAAAAAAAAAATGCTACTTAGATTATTGTAATGAATTATACTTTTCAGGTATTGTATTTAGCTCTTGTTTGCATCAATTTTCTAACGTTTATTTTCTTAAACTCAAATTCAATTACATATTTATAAAATTTATAACTTTTATCAATTTTTCAATACATATTTCATTATTTTTTTATTTAAATCTACTAAAGATGTAAATTATAATCGAACAAAACTGAGACTTAATGTTGACCTTAAAATCCATTAGTTTTCGTAATTGCGTAAGAGATATAATCGTTTGGATACCCATCCACTACATTGTGTAGTGTAGAGTAAAATTATATATTAATTTTAACATGAATTTTTATTAACTTTTTGGTTAGCCCAAACAGGGAATTAATAAAAATCACAAAAACAATAAAATAAAATAAAAATAAAAATAAAAATTTAATAATATTTCCATTTATTTAATTATGAGAACCATACTTTTAAAAAAAAAATTTACATACTTATTTTTAATTACACATTCATACAATAAAATAATTTACACGTAAATTTCAAAATTTTTCTTATTTTTTTAATTACAAATTTACTAAAAATTACTATTCAATTTTTTTTTCCCCAAAATATGATTGGAGTTCGTCTCGTTTTCCAAATCGAATCAATTGGAACCAAAAAAAAATCAAGAATTCAGCTCAAAAAATAATGCAGTTATTGGCCGACAAGTCTATCAGCCGTAGACACTAAAATCCTCTCTCTCTCTCTAAACCATACACGTGTCACATCTTAACTTGAATCGTCCTATCCCAAGAACAGTACGGTCATTTACGTGTCATTTCTAAATGAATTTTGCCATACTAACCCTGCCGTCACGAGAAATATTCTTCAATTTCATAGGGGTTTCTTAGTAATTTCACCTTGATATTTGCCTAGCAAGTACTAGGGGCATAATAGTCAATTAATATAAGAACATTTTCGTTCATAAAATATTCAGATAGAAATATCTTTTATTTAGGAAGTGGAAGATTTTCAGTGGATGTTTGTCAGAGTGCTCAGTACTAAAAATTCTTGAACCGAGTGAGTCACTCACTGAGTCGGCAAATGCAAGCACTCGTCGGAAAATATGGAAGATGTAGGTGCAATAGGCGGCGAAGGGGACAGGAAGCTGGAGACGCACCTGTTCCAGCAAGCATTGAAGTGTCCTCGGTGTGATTCGCTTGACACAAAGTTTTGTTACTACAATAATTATAACCAATCTCAGCCGCGCCATTTCTGCAAGAGCTGCCGGCGGTACTGGACCAAAGGCGGCGTCCTCCGTAATGTCCCCGTCGGTGGCGGCAACCGGAAGACGAGCAAGCGGTCCAAACCGAAAAAAGGACGCAAATCGAATTCGCATTCCAGCAGCAAGAATTCCAGTCTCACGGACGCTACCATCACGGCGGCGTCCACTCCTACATCAGCCAATGGAAACTTCAGCTTCGCCGTAGATTTACCTGACATTTATCCTGATTCGAATTTTTATAATGTGAATCTGAATCCACAGGCTACGACTACAAAACCTGGCTTTGATTCACAGCCGGTGGCGAATCAACCAACGGACGGTCAGATTTTCAGCGACATCGGAGGCTTCACGAGCCTGGAGAATATGCTCGGGTTCAACATGGCCGACATTTCCCCATCGTCCGATCCGTTAGAGCAAGTTTCGTTAGTAAAGAATCCTAGCTCGGCCATTATGGATCAAAAGGTACATAAGACTGAATTCGCGGAAGAGAACCCATTGAGTGACGGCGGACTTGCTGCTCTAGATTGGGGAACCATCGCCGGCGGCGGAGGAGTTCGGAGTCGAGATGAAGGTCCGTCTGATTTCACAGGGACCGTTGATCAAGCTTACTGGAGTGATCAATCTCTTAATGATAGTATCTTCCATAATTAACTCTGTAAGATTTTATACTGAATTACATAATTTATTTTAATATAAAAGAAAATAGTTTTAGGTCATTCAAATAATTTTCTGGTTCATAAAAATTACATAATTTTTAATTTAATTTGTTATTACTCTGGGTTTGTCTTTTTATATTGAGAGGTTAAAATTCACTCTTTATTTTTGAAGATGAATGGTATATTTAACATTTTAAAAAAGAAGTTAACTTCTATAATATAGAGAAAATGACGTTTAGCTCTTCAAATGACAAGATTTTGTAAATTTGAGGAAGGATTATTTTATTTTCATCAATATTCAATTTCATTTCTAATTTTCTTTATTTCAACAACTTTATAATTTTTTTCGGAAAAAAGGTCATTGTTATATGTATATAATTGTCTACATAATGGTATCTATAATTACATGTGACATTGGATTGAATCTTTAATTCAAATTTCATATTTGCAAATCAACAATCGAATGATTGTCACATCACATTATGGATATCATTATGTGCAATAATTATATACAAGTAGAATTTTTCTTCGTGGGAATCGTGATGTTAACTTTAAACTTTATTTTTCAATAGTTATTGGATTTTAAAATATTTCCTAATTTTCATCCTTAATTGTGTACAATTGTTAGTTTTTCAAAAGAAACAAAGTGACTAACGTGAGTGTTATATGTATATAATTGTCTACATAATGGTATCTATAATTACATGTGACATTGAATTGAATCTTTAATTCAAATTTCATATTTGCACATCAACAATCGAATGATTGTCACATCACATTATGGATATCATTATGTGCAATAATTATATACAAGTAGAATTTTTCTTCGTGGGAATCGTGATGTTAACTTTAAACTTTATTTTTCAATAGTTGTTGGATTTTAAAATATTTCCTAATTTTCATCCTTAATTGTGTACAATTGTTAGTTTTTCAAAAGAAACAAAGTGACTAACGTGATAAAACGTTAGAAGTACCGTGTTGATGAGAACGACTTTTGAAAATTTAGTGACAATTAAAAAAGAAATATGTGGCAATTGAAAATGCGATTTTGTAATTACAATTAGGGATGACAATTCGAATTGTCAAAATCGAAAATCGTGATTAACTGAATCGAATGGGACAAAAAAATCGAACTGATTGTGTAATGGGATGTATATGGTGTTTGATTTTAGTGACCCAGTTCCGGGCGGGATAGATATGGTATTCGCGTCGTCGTCCCGCTCCGAATTGATTATCCGTTAAAAATTAAAAATAAAATTGATTAATTGGACTTTCCATTATAAATTGTCTAACTCAAAATTTATGGCCCATTACCGACTCATTAAGTAACCTAACCCAGTTACAATTTACCCTGTCAAAATCGAAAATCGTGATTAACTGAATCGAATGGGACGAAAAAATCGAACTGATTGTGTAATGGGATGTATATGGTGTTTGATTTTAGTGACCCAGTTCCGGGCGGGATAGATATGGTATTCGCGTCGTCGTCCCGCTCCGAATCGATTATCCGTTAAAAATTAAAGATAAAATTGGTTAATTGGACTTTCCATTATAAATTGTCTAACTCAAAATTTATGGCCCATTACCGACTCATTAAGTAACCTAACCCAGTTACAATTTACCCACTAAGTACTAACCTTATTACAAAGAAAATTAGAATCGAATTCAACAAGTTATTAGTCGACAACTATCTTTATTCGAGTCTCTGCACCGTGTCCCCAAATTTTTTTTTCTTCACAATGTATTCTTTTTTACTCGTCATCGCCACCCCAAGTAGGAGAGTATTTTATTGCTAATTTCTTCTCTCTTTTGTATGTAGAAAATTCTACTCCATTGTACTCCGGAGCTTATGTATGATTTGGTGATGAGGATATTGACGAAGAGGTACGCTTTTCAGTTAAGACCATTCTGGATTAATTAGTATTGTTGTATTATTACTCTACTTACGTTTTTCATTTACTATAGAGGGATTAGCTTTAAATTTCGACGAATGCTAGTAAGAGTTGTAGAGAAGAATGAAGATTGAATATGAATTAAATTTGGAACTTTTGAGTTATTGAATAGGAATCGAGTTCGACGAACAAAGACTAAGGGACAAAGATATTGTTTAGTATTTTTATGTTGATAGTATTGTTTGGTAAATTCGAATTTTACATTTGAAAATTGGGATATTGTTTGCATTTTCATTTAGAATGTTGTTTGCTACATCGGCTTATTATTATATTTTTGTTTTCATTGAATTTTTTCATAATTTTTTTTAATTAGACGGTTGGACTTATAAAAATAATTTATTTTTGTGATTATTAACGACCCAAATCGAGATATGAATCGAACCGACTTACGTGCTTATGGTGCGACTATAGTATAACCAAAAAATTGATAGTTCGGTGATGGTTCTGGTCAAACCGAACCCGAATAGAACTGCTGCCAACCCTAATTACAATGACTATTAAAAAAAGCAAAAGAAAAAAAAATGAGTTCAATTATTTTTAAAAAAACAAAATTGATTTAAGCCAAACGACCTGCGAGGTCATCCTCGAGGGTGATTGCACCCTCACATGCTCCAGCATGGGTTCTTCATGAATAAAATAATCCAACTCTCCATATGTGTGTATGTGTTGTGTCAATCCCGTGATCATCCATATAGGTATTGTAGCTCGGCCCTCAAGAAAAATTTTCACCCACTTGCCTTCTACACCTTTGTTCATTCCTTCCCTGTCCTATCTATTTCCTCTCCTTTGTGATAAAGCATTTTCAACTGGGGTAATTAGAACACAACGTTCTTACTTTTTAATATTATTATACAAAACGTTCATGTCTTTCATGTTTTGACATTTTCGTCCTTACTTTCACCTATTATTTCAAAAAATCATTATTTTCATCCAATTTCTTAATTAAAAAATGTAAAATGACAGATATATCCTCATATATATTTTTTTAAAAAGTGTAATCACACTCCTAATCTTTTTAAAAAATTACAAACGAGTCCAAATAAATTATTAAAAGGGTAATTAGTACAAAATGTTCTTACCTTTCAATATTATTTTGAAAAATGCTCACATATTTAATTTTTGTCATTTTCATCCTTATTTTGACATTTTATTACGAAAATCATCATTTTCATTCATTTTCTCAACTAAAAGTTGTATAATAGCGAATATATCATTCTCTTTAAAAAAAATAAAGAAAAGAAAATTAAAGAATTTTTAATTATTTATTTGAAATCTTTTGTACTATTTTGAAAAAATTAGGAAAATAGTTGCGATATGTTCTTTATTTTTGTTTCATTTGAATAATAGTGTTTATTCATCATTTTACAACTTTTAATTGTGAAAATTGATGAAAATAATGATTTTCGTCATGAAATATGAAAGTATTGGTGGAAATGCCAAAAAATAAAAGATATAGTCTTTTTGTACAATAGTATTGAAAGACTACCTTTTTTCTAATTACCCTTTATTTGAACTCAATTGCACTTTTTTAAAAAGTTTGGAAGCTTAATTGCAATATGTTCTTTAATTTTTCTTTTCTTTTTTGTTTTATTTATAAATATGAGGGTATATTTACTGATTGTGTAATGGGATGTATATGGTGTTTGATTTTAGTGACCCAGTTCCGGGCGGGATAGATATGGTATTCGCGTCGTCGTCCCGCTCCGAATCGATTATCCGTTAAAAATTAAAGATAAAATTGGTTAATTGGACTTTCCATTATAAATTGTCTAACTCAAAATTTATGGCCCATTACCGACTCATTAAGTAACCTAACCCAGTTACAATTTACCCACTAAGTACTAACCTTATTACAAAGAAAATTAGAATCGAATTCAACAAGTTATTAGTCGACAACTATCTTTATTCGAGTCTCTGCACCGTGTCCCCAAATTTTTTTTTCTTCACAATGTATTCTTTTTTACTCGTCATCGCCACCCCAAGTAGGAGAGTATTTTATTGCTAATTTCTTCTCTCTTTTGTATGTAGAAAATTCTACTCCATTGTACTCCGGAGCTTATGTATGATTTGGTGATGAGGATATTGACGAAGAGGTACGCTTTTCAGTTAAGACCATTCTGGATTAATTAGTATTGTTGTATTATTACTCTACTTACGTTTTTCATTTACTATAGAGGGATTAGCTTTAAATTTCGACGAATGCTAGTAAGAGTTGTAGAGAAGAATGAAGATTGAATATGAATTAAATTTGGAACTTTTGAGTTATTGAATAGGAATCGAGTTCGACGAACAAAGACTAAGGGACAAAGATATTGTTTAGTATTTTTATGTTGATAGTATTGTTTGTTAAATTCGAATTTTACATTTGAAAATTGGGATATTTTTTGCATTTTCATTTAGAATGTTGTTTGCTACATCGGCTTAGTATTATATTTTTGTTTTCATTGAATTTTTTCATAATTTTTTTTAATTAGACGGTTGGACTTATAAAAATAATTTATTTTTGTGATTATTAAGGACCCAAATCGAGATATGAATCGAACCGACTTACGTGCTTATGGTGCGACTATAGTATAACCAAAAAATTGATAGTTCGGTGATGGTTCTGGTCAAACCGAATCCGAATAGAACTGCTGCCAACCCTAATTACAATGACTATTAAAAAAAGCAAAAGAAAAAAAAATGAGTTCAATTATTTTTAAAAAAACAAAATTGATTTAAGCCAAACGACCTGCGAGGTCATCCTCGAGGGTGATTGCACCCTCACATGCTCCAGCATGGGTTCTTCATGAATAAAATAATCCAACTCTCCATATGTGTGTATGTGTTGTGTCAATCCCGTGATCATCCATATAGGTATTGTAGCTCGGCCCTCAAGAAAAATTTTCACCCACTTGCCTTCTACACCTTTGTTCATTCCTTCCCTGTCCTATCTATTTCCTCTCCTTTGTGATAAAGCATTTTCAACTGGGGTAATTAGAACACAACGTTCTTACTTTTTAATATTATTATACAAAACGTTCATGTCTTTCATGTTTTGACATTTTCGTCCTTACTTTCACCTATTATTTCAAAAAATCATTATTTTCATCCAATTTCTTAATTAAAAAATGTAAAATGACAGATATATCCTCATATATATTTTTTTAAAAAGTGTAATCACACTCCTAATCTTTTTAAAAAATTACAAACGAGTCCAAATAAATTATTAAAAGGGTAATTAGTACAAAATGTTCTTACCTTTCAATATTATTTTGAAAAATGCTCACATATTTAATTTTTGTCATTTTCATCCTTATTTTGACATTTTATTACGAAAATCATCATTTTCATTCATTTTCTCAACTAAAAGTTGTATAATAGCGAATATATCATTCTCTTTAAAAAAAAATAAAGAAAAGAAAATTAAAGAATTTTTAATTATTTATTTGAAATCTTTTGTACTATTTTGAAAAAATTAGGAAAATAGTTGCGATATGTTCTTTATTTTTGTTTCATTTGAATAATAGTGTTTATTCATCATTTTACAACTTTTAATTGTGAAAATTGATGAAAATAATGATTTTCGTCATGAAATATGAAAGTATTGGTGGAAATGCCAAAAAATAAAAGATATAGTCTTTTTGTACAATAGTATTGAAAGACTACCTTTTTTCTAATTACCCTTTATTTGAACTCAATTGCACTTTTTTAAAAAGTTTGGAAGCTTAATTGCAATATGTTCTTTAATTTTTCTTTTCTTTTTTGTTTTATTTATAAATATGAGGGTATATTTATTATTTTACATTTTTTGTTGGAAAATTAATTGATAATGATGATTTTCACAATGAAATGTGAAAACAATGGTGAAAGTGCTAAAAAAAATGAAAGAAAAATTTTGTATAATAACATTAAAAGATATAGACGTTTTGTGCCCCTTTCAATAATGCTCTAAATTAGATGTAAGTTATGATTTAGATTATTAAAGTGTTCAAAAATCTCTCCAATAGAAAGATACCTCAAAAAAAAAAAAAAAACGAAAAAAAAAAAAANGAGATCGCTGAGATATTACACATGGATAACTATCTGAGCGTCAGTGGTTAATCTCTAACGTTCAGAAGTGGAATTGGTTCTTTAACTTGAGATCGTCATAGTGTCTTATATGAGGATAGTCATGCTTTGACAGTGTTGGATGTTGCTTTGCCAAGAGCCCTAATACGACATCGTTCGGATATCTCAAGAATCATATGAAGGTTGTGAATAACCAATAGAGAATTCGTCACTCTTAGATAGTAAGAGATTAGGATCCGCATTTCATTCAATTAAGTCGATAACAAAATATTTGGCCAATGTTCACTCAAAAGTCGAAAAGGAGTTTTTGACTTATATAAATTTAATAGTAGAATGAAAGATATGATTGATAATCGAAATTGACACACCTCCATATCTCGTAATTGATCATAACATATTAACGAATGGATTATAGTTTCACGGTAAACGAACGAAATTGGTTTTGTTATACCACGTGACATTTTTTGTCACATGTATTGTTCTGACACATTCCTAGATGTCAATCTGGGACGACGAACGTGAGTTGGTGATAAATTAAAAGGGAGTTTTAATTTATCGATTTTTATTAGATCAAAATAATAATTCATGTTGTTAGGTATCATGATTTGGAACCTGATGGGTCGCACAAAAAAGGAGAACTAAAAGATTGTGATTTATCAATTAATTAATTTAACAAGTATTAAATAAATAATTAATTGGATTGCTTATTCATAGGCCAGAATTAATTAATCGGATTAATTAATTCATGGATCGGATTTAATTAAATGAGTTAATTAAATATTGGATCGGATCAGGCCAAGCTCGTTTGGGCTTATATAAATAAGTAGCTAGGGTTTATAGTTTTGTAGAGAATTCTAATTTTTTCTTGCCAGCAAAAGAGGAGAAAACCCTGATTCTCTACAATCACGTTCTCTGTGTGGAATTCCATTGGAAGATGGACAATTAGACAGCTGTGAGTGGCAAAACAAGATTGTTGGAGCGAAAGAATAGTAAAGGAGTTTGTAGAATTAAAGAAAGAATAGCAAATGAGTTTGCAGAATCAAAGAAATGTAAAATTTTTATCACGATTTCTATTTAAGTACAAAGAAAATTCTTGGTGGGAATTGAAATCTGTTTCATTTTCGTTGTGCATGATAAGTAAATTTTCAACAATCACGTCCATTGTGAACATTATAACTCATGTCCGTCGTGGACATTAAATCATTTTTGATCACCTCTAAACGAGCATATCATCAATCTCTTAAAATTGATATCATATCAATGTTGTCAAAATCATATCACACCAATCAATTCTACTGAAAAAAAAAGTGAAAACTACAAACGAGTCCTTATAATCGAAAGTTTCGTAATTAATAAGGGAGTGTTTGATAGCCATTTTTATGTGAAAATGCATTTTAGAATAATAATTTGAATGGGAGTATGTGGTTGAAAAATAAAGAAATTTTTTTAATTTACGTGTAATATTATTTTAATAAAAAATATGTGGTTGAAAAGAAGAGATAAAAAAATGCATTTTGAAAAAAATAGGTTCCAAACGGGGGCTAAATTAACGACTGAATTCCAGCTTACACACTAATAACTAAACCCACCAATTTAACTGTCAAAATCAACCAAACTGGCCGGTTTTCGTATTGTTGGTGTTACATCAATATTTTAGTCCTTCATTTTTATTTTTGCCTTTTTGGAGTTTACGTGAAAGTCAAAAAAATATGGAAAAATAATTTTTTTTTAAATACAGATTTTGTGAAAGATACTTTTTATTAAATGTATAGTTAAAAATGTGGAAAGTTACCAATCAACTTGTAAAATTATTTTATTAAAAAATATGTGATTGAAAAATGAGTTTGCAAAAAATAAAAAATAAATAAAAAATTTACAAATCGTGGTAATCTGATTTAATATTGTGCCACCTGTTTCGCGCAGGTTAGTCGCTAACAATTAAAAAGGGTCAGACGATTGTGTAAGGGACAAACCTTTTGAGACAAAGTCCCAAAAAGGGGTATTCTTTTATTGGCGATGAACTTTACAATTGGAAATGAAAAACAATGTGCCTCCAAGGGGCGCAAGCACACGAGTTACAGAAAGAAAAGTGTTTAAATCTAAAAACTAAGGAAATGAAAATTACATATTCTCTGTTCGAGAGTTTTGGATTCGGTCCTTTGCTTCTATGTCCTTTCTCCCTTTTATACTTCATAGGTGATCTCTTTGTGATCAACTACTTTGAAAACTGCTTGATCGTCCTATAACTACCCACTTTCTTCGTAATGGCCACCTTGTCATGAAAACCGTCTTTTAACTGCTGCCATCACCCTTCATCGTTCAACCGTTTTCGATTGAATTCCTTAAATCGTGGAACGTGATAGGGCTGCTTTAATAACTGCTTTGATAACTGCACTTCTTGATAACCACGACGCGTTATGTTTGTTAATATTTTGGGCGACTTGAAGGTTTGGGCGAGAATAGAGTAGCAGCTCTGGCCGATTGTATGACACTCCATTCGCTCAGATCCTGGGCGACTTGCAAACTTGGGCGATGTCGTTACCATGTTCTTGGGCCTTCATCTTGATTTGTTCGATTGGGCTTCGTTCTTTGGGCTATTTGATTTGGGGATTCTCCAATTAGGCTTCACTCCTTGAACTGTTCGATTTGAGCTGAATTTTTATGTGTCAACAATTACCCCCCAATATGGCAGAATTAATAATAATTATTAAATTTTGCCATATTCACTTTGTGTTTTTAGCAACATTCGAAATTCCCAAGAATTTCAATCATTGTTTCCTTCTATAACTTGAAAAGGTGCGTCGTTTTGCAAACCCTTATAAATCCCAAACACGCCATTTCACTGCCATCAAACCACGCTTCATATTTTTTTGCGTCTCCTTCACGATTCACTGTTCATCTTTTGCTTCCCTGCTACGTAACCCTGCAAAGCTTCGTTTCTTCTCAAATGGCTGCTTCACAATCTCAAGCTAGCGATTCCTTTAGTTTTGATGATTTTCAGAGACTTCTGAGTCGCCCATACATAACCCCAAGTTTTCTCGCGCCTGCCGACGTTGGACGTAATGAGTTTTACTTGGGTCCTTTCTTCAACAATGCGGAGGCAGTTGAACAGGCGGCGGTGGGTCAGCTGTTTCCTTGCACTTAGGGTCCTCCATTTCTGAACTCTCTACCGCTGGGGCCACTTCGCGAAAGAGGTATTCGCACTTGACCTAAATCTGATGTAACTTTTCGTAGATGGCATGCTCGCTTTGTGGGTCATGGTCCTACTAAGGTACTTTTTGATAGCGCTAGGATTTCTGATTTGTTGGAAATCTCTATCCGC